CAGCGCAACGGCGAACACCGCGCAGACCACATGCAGCAGCGTCTCCTGCAGCGCGCGCTGGTCCGCGACCGCGCCGACCTTCGTCTCGCGCGCGGGTTGCAGCAGCTCCCACAGCGCCGCGGACGCCGCCGCAGCGGGCGCGTCTGCGGCAGCGCGCCAGTGCTTCTGCAGCAGCGCTGCGCAGTGCGCAAGCGCGGCCGGCACGTCGAGCGCGCGGTCGTAGTGCGCGCACAGCAGCAGAATTGCCGCGAGCGCTACGTTGTGAAAGGAGAAGCGCGCGGCGGCCGCCGCGAGCTGCTCGCTCGCGACGGCGTCGAGCGGGGCAGCGCCGAAGGCAGCTGCGACGATGCAGGCCACTGCGAGCCCCGTGAAGCAAACGCGCGAGGGCCCGGCGCTCGAGGCCGCTACGAACGTGGGGTTGAAGCTGGCCTGAAAGTCGCAGACGGTCTTCAGCTCGCTGGGCTCACCGCGCAGCTGCTCGAGCAGCAGAGTGCCGAGCGCACCTGTCGCGCTTGGCTCGCCGAGCTCGACGAGCGCGAGGCTGAGCACGAAGCAGCGGCGGATCAGCGAGACGACGGAGTACTTGTGCGTCTGTTTGAACCACATGATGTCCTCGGTCAGGTAGTCTTCGAGCAAGAAAGGCATGCGGCCGCTCGCTTCGTACAGGAAGTTGTCGGAGCAGGCTTCGACGCGGCCGGCGGCGAGCAGGCGCAGCTCTTGCACGACGCGCTGCCCGACGAACGAGCGGAGCGTGCGCTCCTCGGCGAGGCTGGGCGCGTCGTGGCTGAGCAGGCGGCAAACCGCGAGGAGCGCGTAGGCCTCGCTGGTGCCGAAGGCGCAGAGCCGGTGCAGCCGCGCAAGCGTTTCGAGGCACGCGTTCAGCGGACGCGCAGCGGCCGGTTCGCTCCCGTAGAGCACGCCGAGGAGCCAGTGCGCGAGCTCTTGCGGGTCGACGACGCGCTCGGACAGCCGCCCCAGCGCGACCAGGAACGCGGAGAGCAGCAAGTTGAACGCGGGGCTTTTCTTGTCGCAGAGTCCGTAGTAGTACCAGGAGTTGCTGGCGCTGTGTTCGAAGAGGATGTCGATGCAGAAGTACAGGTTCTGCTCGACGGAGCTGAGCTGCGCGATCTTCTGCAGGTTTTCTTCCGGCACTTTCAGGCACGTCAGCAGCAACTGTTCGAGCTCTGCGAACGCCTCGGGCCAGCAGGCGTTGAGGTCGACGACGCTCAGAACGCCGGCAAGGAAGAAGACGCGGCGCAGCAAAAACCAGTAGGCGACGGCCATCTGCTTCGCGGACGCGGCGGAGTTGTGCAGGTGCAGCAGCACGTCTTTGTAGGAGAAGGTTTGGCCGAGGACCTGTTCGGCGTCGGCGCCGAAGCTCCAGTGCTGCACGAAGACTTCGAAGATTTGCACGAAGGTCTTGCCAGTGACGACGCTGCTGGAGTAGCGCACGTCGCTCTGGAACTCGAGGTTCAGTACGGTGTTCGCGCCGAGCGCGAAGTCCGCCCAGAGCACCAGCGCGTTGCCGTTGCCCATGTGCCCCCACTGCGGGAACTTTTGGTAGAGGAACCAGTGGACGTCGAGCGCCTTGGCGTAGTAGCAGCGCGCGAGGTGCGCCTCGGCACCGCGAATCAGCTCGAGGATCTCCTTCTTGCTAGGCTTCGTTTTGAGGCTACCGGCGGCGTCGGAGCGGCGCGTGAAGTTGAAGAGCGACTTGAGCCGGTGGCGGCGCAGCGAGGGCTGCAGCGACCAGCAGCCGAAGGAGACGAGTTTGTCGAGCCGGTGCGCGATGAAGAGCGCAGCGTTGCGGCCCAGCGTTTTCGCGACGTGCTCGAGCGGCGCCGCGTCAGCCGCAAAAGGCCCGAACAGGAAACAGAATAAGCGAACAAATAGAGATAAACAGCGAAACAGGGGGAGGAGAAAACAGGGCGGTGGGAGCAGGAGC